ACAATCACGTAACAGACTAAACTGAGCAGGTTTTTACCCGGAGCAAGGTTACACTGACCAAGTCTCCCCACCAAGCTATGTTCTGGAACAACTACATGAATACCAGCAATCAAGCATTGCCTGCTTCACTGACAGTGCGCCAATCCGTAGAGTGCAAGCAGTGGAATATAGCAGAATCGGATGGCATGCTCATCAAACACGAAGCTATTGAATTCTTCCTGTGCGGCCGCAGGTCCGTACTTAGGTTTAGGACTTTTCACCTATGTAATTGTTCGGACTTAGGCAAGATTTTCCGCTATCCCATGTAATGTTCAACTTCACGGTTAACTGGATTTGAACGGCTCTTTAAATTGTTCAGCCTATTGCTCAAAAGGATGACTTTCGCAGTGTTTCGCTGACACGTCGCCTTTTGACTGGTTGATTGAATCAGGTGAAACAAGATGCGACTGTTGCTTGTAGTAAAAGCCTTCTTCATCTTTGGGCCTTCGCAATCCACCAGCATTTTCCGTCATTCTTCAAGCTCTTGATTATCCGGCGTTTGAGTGATGTGCGTGTGCCATCATAGCCGCTAGATGCTGGCATGGATATTCCGGCAGCAATAAGACCTGATGATGTCGACTACATCCAATGTTCATTTAGCCGAGTTGGATGGATAGTTTTAAGAGCAAAAAAACATACCCTCTGATTCGCTTCCACTCAGCCCCCAACCAATGTTTTTCATTTGCATGATCAGTGCGTTTCCAGTGATTTTTCACCCGGATCAGCCTAACACCCTTGGTCTACTGAAACTCGACGAAGTTGGTAAACGGATTTGAATTGCTTCGGGCTGCGTAATGCGGACGGAATGCGAAGTGATAACTGAGCACGCACAACGGCATGACCGAAGTCAAGTTGTATACCCTAAGAGGAACGGCAGTCATAAATCCAGGACTTCCGTAGTTAACTGATAGCCACACAATCCAAATGAGTCCATGACTGACTCACGGTTGGTGGCCTCCAAGTAACTCAATGTGAGCGCTTGTGCTAGAAGTTCGTACTGGCCAGGAACACACAATGGTTAGCATATAACTGAGGTCATCATCACCCTCATCAGAGACAGCAACACCAGTGTTGACAATAACGCTTCACTACCGTACAATCACAAAGTTTATCTAATATTTGAAACCATAGAATGAAAAGAGGTAGGGGTTGGCAAAGGAAAGAAACTTGTGGTGGCTTGTTGCAGGCATTCGGAAGTGCCTACACCTCCAAGCACCCTAACACAATCCGGAAGGAAACTGACAGCATGAACGCCACTGATATCGACCAACCACCATTTCTTGTGGTGTCTCCAGCCAAGCGCAGGCGGGAGCAAGAGGACTCTATTTTGGAAGGCGCACATCAACAACACTCACTCTTCGTAATCTCTTTCACACACTACGTGTCCACCTCGCGATTTCCGCCGATCTGAAGGAGGCACGCAGAAAAACACTTGTGGACGACGTTTGGGCATGCGTAAAACATGACTGAGTCGATGGTGCCGGAGATCCTCCACGATTGAAACACATGGTACACAACCAGATACCCGCTTCCTACGAGGGGTGAGATGACTCAAGTGGTTAGAGCGGAAGGTTCATGGTTCGAACCCTATCTCTGTCTCTCGACTTCCCCTGACTAGGTTCGGGCAACCAGGCAGTATCCCAGCCCTCGCACTTCCTTCGGGTAGCATGGCAACTAGGCACTGGAAGGATGCTACAGCAGAACGATCTTTTTTTAATTTTAACCGTTTTCTAATGATCTCGTTACCAACCCGCCATTTCAAACTAGCAACGCTTCTGAGGCATCATAATAATCAACAGCATAAAATCAGTGTTCAACACTGACACTTCGCTGCCGCACAACAATGATGTATTAGAAATTCTTATCGTGAAGAAAATCATAAAAGTGAAGGGGGAATTGACTAAGTGCTAGCTTACTACAATCATTCCGACGTGCCTACATCTCCAGACACTCATTCACACAATCTGGATAGAAACTGACAACAAGAACGCCACTGATATCGATTAGCAGCCACATCTTTCAGCGTTTCCATCTAGGCACAGTGGGGGTCACGCAGTCGCCATCCTGGAAAGCGAGTGGCACCAACAGCACCCAAACGCTTCGTAATCTCCTTCATACCCCTCTGCCAGGTTAAGGGTTGGCCACCCTTCTGCTTCCGCCACTTTGAATTGGGCATGGAAATGACAAACGATGCTTAGGCATATACAACACATTTCCCGACCAACGCAGCTTCATGTGCTGGACACATCCTTCAATAGATGTGCCCATTGTACAAACGAAAACTCACTTTCTAACTGCCTCGTTACGGATTCGCCAACACCAACCCACACGAGCTATGGGTCTGGGACGATTGTCAAACACCTGAAGACGTCTCGGTTCAATTGCTCGAACAGGCCAAGTCTCACAGCCATACAACAAAAACAACCAGCACTGTAGCTTGATATGCATGTCCCTTGAGATCCAGGGATACACCACTTTCAAGTCATAGATGTCTCAAATTAGCAGGCGACCCGGGCCTTGCAGATTCGTGCATTGACCTTATTTGTCACACTGCGATCGGAAATAACACAACTTCCAAAATATGTAGAATGCTCCACAACATCTAATGCCTCTTCCTGGATTGTAAAAGGCGTGTTCAGGAGCACGACCTTACAGTTTGTGGGTGCAAAGTGCAAAGCAAAGGACGGGATTAATTTTGCTAGTCCATCCAAAAAGCCTGTGCCTTCTCCTTCTGTTCGAGGACAAGAACAATATCATCTGCATATTCAAGATCGACAACGATTTCGCCACAGGCTATTTTTGGGGACCTTCCGGCATTCGTCTCATGATTTCGTCGATCACGAAGTTAAATAGGAATGGAGTGGGCATACCTGACAGACACCACTTTGTGTATGGGAGCTTTTGGGGAGCTCTCCGTATACTTTCACACGTCCAGAAGTCTGAAAATACAAAGAGTCTATTATGCCTCCGAACTTCGGGGCATTCCTTGAAGGGCAAGTGTGTCACGAACAACACACCGGTCAACGCAGTCCAATGAACCTTGAAAATCCAGGAACACTAGAATTGTTGGTCGCTTATACGTATAGCGTGATAGATAGCTCAGTGGTTGGAGCGCGAATTTACTGACCAGAAGGTCCGTGGTTCGAACCCGACCTCTGCCTCTCGACTTCCCCTGTCCAGGCTTGGGCAACCTGGCAGTATCCCGGCCCTCGTGCTTCCTTCTGGTGACATGACAGTTAGGCACCGAATGGGTGCTACAGCTGAACGATACGTATGGCGTTGTTGTAGAACCTGACGAAGTGTGATGATTTGGCCTATAAGGCCGGAATCCAGCTTGCTGCTCTCGGGTCAGTGTTTCACTAGCCATTGTAAGGTGACGAAGCACAGTGACGCCAACAGTCTCGTGACGACTGGGGTCAAGCTGATCTCCCTGTGGTTACCACTCACTACGAGCCCCTTTTTGAAAATGGACACTATCACTCACCTTCCTCAGGTGTCTGGGGCAGACTCCTTTTCCCGAATGGAATCAAACAGATCAGACAAGCGATGACTGAGGACTTTACCCCTATTTTTGAACAGTGCAGGTGGGGGTCATCCTGACCGGAGGCTCGGTGGCGCTTCGCTCACCTGCCTTCCTCCTCGGTGGCGCTTGAAAGGACATGTGCAATCATGATCCGCTGAGGCCACAGGTGGTTCCACATTCACCGTCCAGCGTTCTCCAGATTGGTGGTAGCCGCTGGCCACAACTGTTGTTCGAAGTATTCGATCCAACAGTCGAGGCGCCCTTCTTCATTAAAGATGATCATTCCTTTCCTATCCTTGACAATTTCGCTCACAGCAGGTTTTCGGGGACCGGTCGCACGGATCAACTGAAATAGTCTTCTGAAAGTACCGGCTTTCTGGGCCTCTTCCATTTAGTTGGCCTTGTGTCCACCATACTTCACAGTCGACTCGCACGCTCACTTTCACTTGACGTCTGATAAATCGTCGCATCAGTGTACGTTCAGCACCTGGTGGGATATTTCTCCAACATTTAAGCAGTGTGGCCGTTCGGTCTGATATCCAATGCTTGAGTGCGCCTGGTGGTGTCGTGCCACAGGCGAAATTCCCAGTACTGTGCAAAGAGGTGACAATCTCGTTCCAGTATGAGATCACATCTGACGGTAGAGCATATGGAAGAAACTGGAGTACGATTCGTCTGTCATCTGGATCTGCCAGTGTCTCAGTTGCCAAGTGACTTGTCTGAACCTTACACAACCCTGGAAAAGTAGAAGGAAACGACTTCGGATGAGTGCATGTTCGAAATTCAAGAATGTGTTCCAAAACGACCGGTAGTCACTTGTTGATCCGTGCCGTCAATAACTGTTGGCAATGTGATCGATTTGAGTTCGTAGCTGGTACGCCGTTGGAGGGCACCATGTGGTCGGACGACTTAAGCTATTTCAGAAGTTAGTACTGCATAAAAACAGCCTGCGATCAGCACACAGTGAAGTGATCGTTCATCATTGTCTGTACGTACTGAGCTTGGTCGACATAGACCACCTAATTGGGTCTTAGATGTACTAAGTCTGCCCACTTGTGCATTCAGATCTCCGGCAACCACAACGATATGCGACCTTTTAGCTCGCCACAACTGGGTATTCAGGACGTCAGAGCTACAGTCAGTTGGGACGTAAGCAGACACGACAAAGCACATCGATCAACTTCCGGCTTGTGAAACTCCTTCACGGACGTCACCATAGGAACGGCACAGAGGCGGTTGTCAACGGGTATCCAGTCAAGCAAGGATTCTTCCACCCGGTGACTTAGGACGACACCAACCCTCGCCCATCCTGCTGCAGCAGCCTCTGGGTCATCAGAGATACGTAGCCGGAAGCAACTTGATGAGTAATGGGGCGGTTAGCTCAACCACTGCACTTGCATCTTGAATCCTTGTTTCCAATACACACCAAGCACCAATATCAAGCAAGTCCAGCGTAAGAGCAAGAGTAGCTTGTTGTCCTGCTTGCTTCAGGGCGCGGACATTGAAGGCGGCTAGACAGATTGGGCGTCGAGGCTTGAATACTGATTTCGATGCCTGAGTACCTCGGCACCGGATGACACGCACATGTTACTAGCAAAACCATTGCAGGACGAACGGAGTCATCAGTCCTAAGTGCTGGGCCTACAAGGAGAATGTCATTAATGGGCTGGGGGAGAGGGGGAGGTAAAAGTGTGTGAGAGAAAGAGAAAAAAGGGAGGCGTCAGCAGTAACCTGTTTTCGCTTACACATCCTTCTGTATGCAGCAAGTAAGTCAACCCGACTGAACGCACCACGCCACTGCCGATGTGACATGCGATCACTGTTAGACGTATGTATCATAGTTGTACGTCGGCTGGGATACTGCCAGAGTTCCCACACCTAGACAGGACGATTAGGGTTCTCAGAAGCCTCACCATAAGGCGGCGGTGTTTGCCGGGAAATGCAAATGCATTACCATTTCCACAATTCGCCATGTGTTCCAACCTCCAACTTAGAATACCGGGAGACTGTGTTTGCCAGACCTCTAACCATTGACCAACCTGGTATGAGACTCTGCGAGTGTCCGTGGGACACCTCCCATTATAGCTGTGTGATCGGTACACATCTGAAGCGGGCGATCTCAGTTGTCCGTAGACCTCGTTTCCATGCTTACTGTGTCCATTTTTCTCAAGGACTGAGGCGGTCGTGACCGATCTATATAAAGTACCTCTTCTTCATCCTCAGAACTACAGTTTGTCGGGGCACATGCTGACATGACAAATGAACGCCGCTTACCACATAAACCAGCATTGACCTTAATTGAACCGGAAAACCATACAGCACAAAGACGATTGGTGTCCGATCCAGTAAAGCACCCTCAGTCGTGGGGCTGAATGAAAATCCCGAACCATTGGTACACGAGTCACTGCGTCATGATCACCTGAGCGAGTCCTAAGCCACTTGAGTCCTAGAACCGAAGTGGGGTGTTTGGATGGGACAAAACAAACACCAACGAAAATCGGAAGCAAGATTACTGCATGAGATACCTATTGCCTAGTTAGACAGGGCACGAATATTGAAGGCTGCAGTATGGATCAAACCATTTGATTTCAGTAATGGATTTTGTTTACTTTGCTGGGTGATAGTTTTGACACGGAACACTGCTTAGGGTATTGGAAAATGGATTGACTGGTGTGTCATTTAGCAGGTGGGAGCAGGTAATCGGAGAACTACAAGGGCGAACGATACTTCCCGGTTGTTCAAGAAGGTAGTGTTTGAAGTGCCACACCTTGAGTATAAACCACAAGGTAGCGGGCAGTAGGGTTTTCTCGGGGACTGAGTGAGGCTGACTGGTTTAGAACGAGGGCACATGAAGCAAGGCGTATGTGCTACTGGAATAACAAACGTGTTTAGAGGGGCATAAGGCTCTTTATACTTTCTACCTGTACTTCGTCCGCAATGGATGATTCACCGTCGGTGACGAGCAACCGTTGGGCGACCGGAGTGTGCGGTTTTTAGAGTCGACCTTTTCTGACTCGTCCTTTCAGTAACATTGCTTCTTCCATGATTGTGGATATGCTGGCCATCTAAAGAAAAATCCTTGCTGGAAACATATTCACAAATCCATGGTAGAGGCAGTACTTTATCCCCAGACCACTTCGCGTTGCGGTTATTCGTAGTTCAGGGGTTCGTTGCCTTACGTCCGGCTACTCTGCTTTGAACTTTCCAGCCAGTGTAGCCCAGTGAGTCAATGCAGCACTCAGGCCTGACCACTATGTCAGGCTAGCAGCTTTTGGTCCGGATGGAAACGTTTATTTGCAACTACACACAGAGCGACTCGGTGGTAAATGAAAAACTGAAAGTTCAACTGCAGCAGCCTTTCGGTGACTAACTTCCATGCCACCAGAAGGAAGCACGAGGCCTCGGATACTGCCAGGTTGCCCAGACCTAAACAGGGGAAGTCGAGGGGCAGAGTTCGGTATTGAACTGTTCAAGCGAGGCCTAGCAACAAAACCCCTGACAAAGCTGGGAATAATAAGAGGAGCTGTCAACAAGCAGGAATACTGATTTCCAAGAGAAGCTGACTTCAAACATGTAAGATGATCCACGCGATTTATCCAACTTAGAATGACTTCAACAAGTTAACAATGGTTTTCCTACCATCCCGTTTTCCTGACGGGCGAGCGGGCACACGTTGAACAACCCCAGTAATGATAACTAGGAAACTGCAGGATGCGATTGAGTCCTCGGAAAAGCTGGCTCCAGAATATTTTTCGTTATGATTCTGTGGTATATCAAGAAGCGTAGAGAAGTGAAGGCACTGGAGACGCAAGAAAACCTGAGTGGATTATCACAGTTTATATAAGTTGTTTTTCACCCTACCGATCATGCAACGTACAGAAAAGCGGTATGAGTGAAAATCAAATCGGAATTGTTTGTGGACACCCTTCGGTTAGACGATACTCCAGAGGTTACCATACTAATGTATTGGACAGTCAGAAGAGGGCAACTTCGAGGCGGTCACGGAGTTGGCTTCCGAATGGCATGTTCATGTCTAAGAAAAATCTCTCAGAAAATCACATACTTACAACGCCTTACGCCCTAGCTGGTATAATCCCGTGGCAGCAACGAATATGTTGACACTGAACAAGTTCCAGTTCTTGGGAGTTATCACTAGAGAGTAACGGGACCAGATCAAGCCAGTGAGAGCAAGAGCTACACTCTGGAAAGTGCTGACCTTTTCAACTGGCCGTCCCATGTCCCTTATTCCGGCAATCACAAGAGCCTGATTCAGACCGATAAATACGAAAACAGCAACGTACCCATTTCATCGTAGGTGCCCAGAAAAAGACGGTTTTGGGGCCAGCCGGATGTTCCCAAAATGGCCTCATACTAGACGGTACCCCCTTGTCCACTACATTTATTACAGCACGGTAGACTGCACTCATCTTGGACTGAACTCCGAAAACGGTGCAGCTCCCACAAGAGAGTACACGGAGGTCAGCGGGTGGACAAGGAACGTCCCCGGCGTTGATTGGTTGCTTGCGCCCTAGTATAAGATACAGGGATTCACACATTCATACACAGGACCGAAGCTTTCACCCAGGTTTTCGGGGTCTGGTTCGTTCTTTTTGTTCAGCGGATACCCTTAACCTGAAAAACACAAGCCAGAACGGGGTGTAGCACTGCTGTTTAAATTCTCAGCAAGGGGCAGTTAGCTTACCAGCGCCAGGATTCCCATAAAAATTAGCTAGTAGTGCTTTGAACTGGGTACTAGGTGGAGCGTGAACAACTGTCGGTGGAAGGTTATTCCACACAGCAACTACCCGAAATAAGAGAAAGTTTTGCCTAATGAAAGTGTACGCTCTGTGCTGGAAAAACTACCTACCATGCCCCCACCGTGCGTTTGCTGGGTCAACTGGAAAAACCTGTTGGCCAGACCTTGGTCAAACAGGGCATAGGTAAGTATTAGATCTCCTCAGAAGCGGCGGTATTCCAGGGAAGGAGGTCAAGCACCGGGTCACGCCCTTCGTAGTCCACGTATTCAACTCCGGCATCCATTTTGGAGCAGCTCACTGGAGATGCTCAATGAGGGTTACATCCTTCCTGCGTCCTGTATGTACAACTTGGTTGGCACATTCAGGGAGGGGTTTCGTAAAGTATTTATAGGTCTATGCCATTAATACGAAGGAAGGTGCGCTGAGTCATCCGTAGTATGGCGAATGCTTTTTAAGCCGATTCTCATGGTGCATGTACAACTTGGTTGGCACATTCAGGGAGGGGTTTCGTAAAGTATTTATAGGTCTATGCCATTAATACGAAGGAAGGTGCGCTGAGTCATCCGTAGTATGGCGAATGCTTTTTAAGCCGATTTCTCATGGTGCAGTGAGAAAGGTATGTTTCAAGAGAGCCACACCCACATTTTTGGCTTCCATCCACGTGATATATTCTGATCCATTCTGACCATTCAAGACAAAGGCTGAGTCCCTTCAAGCTGACAGTCAAACGACCACAGCTTTGCAGCACCTACATCCATTTGGAGGACACTGGCGTTTGAACTCCAGAATTTCGAATCATCTTCAAAAAGTTGACCTGGACTTGCAAGAACGTCTGGATGGTCAGTGATTAAGACCAGAAACGGCAGTGGTCCTGAAACGGAGCCTTGAAGAACTCCAATGGAGGCCGGTGCCGGATAGGCGTTTAAGCCTACTTTCACTCGGGATGTACTGACCGATAGGAACGCCTTTGTCTGGCGTAGGATTTCCCACCTCTGCTTGTGAAGCAGCGTGACGTGTGGGACTCGATTGAGTGATTTCGATAGGTCGAAAATATGGCATCCGTTACGAGTCATTCGTCTTTAGCTTGGGTTAAGTTCTTCCATGAACACAGTCTTGTTCGCCGCTCAGGGACGGTTTGGGAGAAATCGGTGTTGAACTGAGGATATCAAGTTTTTGGTAGGAAGGTTGGATAGGGTGGCTTACTTCAAAATGCATTCCATCGCTTCGCACGGTACGCCAGGACAGGACAGGTTAACGACATGAGTGACTGAGCCGAGCGACCTCTTCGAATTTCGCATCGAAGAACTCAGAGCACGCTTTGTAAACACCGTGGCTGGTGATTGTCCAATTGTTGAGGGTCACGACGACTTCTGTGAGTGGAAGACGGGAAGAAAGCTCATGAACTGAAGCCCCGTAAGCAGCATCGTACATCACCAACGCTTACATGTAAATCAGCCAAAGTGACCTACATTATATGCCACACTGTCCCCAGTTTTGAACATAACCTTGCCCGATTTATCATGGCCTAGGTGAACCGGAGTATGTTGGTGATGCGCTGCGTGGGGCTGGTGAGCGTATACGGAGATTGCTGTGTCTGGGGGTGTGTCGGCCGTGTGCGAATGAGCCACATGTCATCCCTGAGGCCGTACACAAATAGGTAGAGCCAACGTCTGTGGTAGATGTGTGGTAACTACCATGGAGTGGTGAACAACTATGTAGCATACACGCTTTGGAGGCACCGAGGGACAGTAATTCTCTAAGCGTAGGGGTTCGTGACCATTTCCATGGATGGAATACGGCAAGAAAGTTCATGATTCAAAGCTCAGTAGGCATGTTTGTACACCACTAATATTTGTACATAAATCAGCCAAGGTGGCAGACACTGAACATTACATCATATATCGGCCCAATTTTAAACTATCCCATCGGCTGACTTGAATAATATTTCGACCGATCAAAACAACACCTGGTTTTATGCAACAGGCCGGTTAGCATGCAGGTTCTCTGGAGTCGAATTTCGCCCACATCTCACAATCGTGTTGTCTTGTGCATTATTCGCCACCCATTATGGTTCCAAATCTGTTATCAGCCTACAAAAATCAGTAATCACTTTGCAATCACAGGTGTTAAGTTCTGGCGCACCCACATGCTACCCCGTAAATCATTGCACTCACATGAAGTGGAGGGCTCATACGAGCACGTCTTTGCAGTAATTCTTTCGTTTCTAAAATACCCATGTCTCCGATCAGCCTAAAAGTTCTATTTTCCGAAGTAAACTTGAGATTCCATGAGTCGTTCAGCAGGTCATCATATCAAAGACAGCACAGTTTCAAGGGTGTTAAGTCTGTTAAGAAACCTGCAGACGTACAACTTTTATGAATCCAGGCTTTCTGTTAGATTCCTCCCCCCGCGTTATACGGTTAACGTAACGGTATTTAGCGTAGTGTTACTTCGACCTACAGACGCCACACGGACATATTAGTCGATCTGGAATAATCCGCGGTTGGCACCTGCCGGAACTCCGTTCCGTAATGATAAAACGGCCAGAAAGCCTGGAATGGAGCAGCCAACATAACAGTGGTGAGTACCCATCAGAGATTTGTGCTTTGTTGCTGTCCGTGGGAGAGTAATGGAGGTAAGTTATTTCACTCAGGCGACCGGTGCGTCCATGTTATTGTAAGCAGCGATACTGCCTTCCCTCAAGAAAAGACGGGTTGAAAATGCCGACCCAAAAACCTTACAACCTAGTATCCCAAAAATTGGCAACCAAATTTTGCGATTTATCCTACTCGACCGAACGCGTTCGTTCCTCTCAAGGGCATATAGTGTGGGCTGCCGTAGCAGAATCGGTACGGCATCGCCTTACTTCATGCTTCTATTGGCCAGGCTAGACCCCTGCATCCAGATAGGTTATATCTTTGAGATACCAGGAGAGTCCCGAAAAACAACCTTAAAGTCGCTACCACATATGTAGACTTTTGAGTCGGAGGCTGTAGGCGAGGCACCCTAGCAAATCCTTCATCAGCCTTATGGGTCAGGTTTTTCACTCAGTTTCAGGGTAGGTTACATCAAGCGAACGCCTTCTTTGGCCCGGGCAATCGGTAAAATCCATTTGCCCGCACTTTACTTTGTCCATCCATGACTCTAAACGCCGTACCACCACGCCAGCAGAAGTTGCGACTTGCAAATGACTGGATTTCTCAAAAACAGTTAAACCTGAGTTCCAGTAGAACAGTAGCTTGGTGAACTGAATGTGGTGCACAAAGGTCACCCATCTCCTGAGCCCCATTAAGGACGAAACCGGAGTTTTCAGAAACCTTGTGAGTAGTTTCCTTCATGAAGACAGTGAATTTCTGGGGAGCTATCCAACAAAACACATTTGTGTGATATGGAGTAAACAGAAAGTGTCTGCAATATAGAGAACTGGATTGTAATCCGTATGCCCGAAAGGGGAAAGCGGACGTTATTTGCAAACCACCGTGGCACCCGCCTTGCGGCTGTAGTTTTGAAAGTGCTCTCTCGTCTTATTTTTCTTGAAATTTGACCGAATATATTGAGAGACAGACTTGTGAGAGCTAACTTGGATTTTGTCCTGCAAGAGAACGATTCGGTCAAATTTTTAACCCCCAAAAGTTTTTGAAAAAGCAACACAGACCTTCAGTGGCTATTTGCTTCGACACGCAAGCTGCCTTGTAATCCTCTTAGGTCGCGGACTGTTGCATGAATTCTTTGCCACCCTTTAGGCGACTTACGCCGAATCGTACGGGCGCGCGAGGGTTCAAAGGAAGTAATATTAATGATGTATATTCCCAACTTGTGGGTGGCATACCGTCAGGCATGATTATAATGTTACAGTCAGAACAAAAGACTGTTGGGAACAGAGGGGTAGGGAAAGAGACAGCGTCATAGGGTTGAGCATTATCCGATGTAGGTGTGATCAACACCGTACGGCACGGACAAGGAAGCATAGTTACTATGCGTTTTTGGGGAGAATATCGAGCAACATCTGATCGTTAGGATTTGAAGGTGGCAGGCAAAAAACAAAGCGATGGAGGGTGAAAGGAGAGGCTAATCTGCCTTACACATGACAAGATATGTGTACCGATGAAAAACGAGGAGCCAGAACATCAGATCAGATGAAGCAGGAGAGTGGGCGTCTTCCGGCCCGTCAGATTGAACTAAAACCTAAAACCATCACTGGGACGTCGGGGATTTGGGGTAATGGGTTCATGGCCAGGGTCACAAAAAAGTAAGTGGGGAAAAGGAAGTTATGGGTTAACAAGGCGGATAAGTGGTAACAGGAACCACAGAAACATGGTGTACAGCAAGTCTGTAGTGACTCTTGGTGTCGCGGTTTGGGAAGCGGGCATAATGGTTCTTTGGAAGAGTAAAATGATGGCAACGCACGAGAAGTGGTTCATTTCGGTTCCAGGCAAGCCCCTCCCTTTTTGCTCCTACTCTCCAAATGTCTCATTGGCATGGCCATGATAGACTCACGCTCGGCCTCTAGTGCCTATAGGCTCGAAATGTTCCTCATGCATTCACCCGCAAGTATTGAGTGCCCGGAGGACATAACCGTTCTTGCATCTACCGCGGTTGTGATGTAGAAAACAATAAATAGACTAAATAATTTTGCTTCGTGTTTTGGCATGCGCTTCACAATAGCAAAATGTAACGCTCCAATGCAAGACTGAGGGTGCTCGAAACCTAATCTCATGCACGCACATTAGCCGATTTCGGTTGAAGACAGGATTCTTACCCTGGGCAAATGTGTCATTTCCGGTGGTCTAGACAAAGATGATATTTCCATCCGGGCTAGGATGGCCGGAGCAGCCTTCATAAAACCGCTTCACCTGCATCGTAGGCATGACAGCCTTTCCACCATGCATGGGGCCATGAGAGGCGAGACATTATTAGTTGATAACTTCTTCTGACATGGCTTTGTCGTGTGGCAACGGTGCTCACACAGCCGAGCTGTTGTCTTCAATGCATAGCGCCCCGATTGGAAATTTACTGGTACTCTGCTAATAATGTCCTAAGTGCGTAACTACCCACCTTCCTGCCATAAATTATCGGCAAAATGAGCTTCAGCAGATATGATCACTGTACGGCAAGCACTCATTTTAATGCTGATGACGTTACGTTGTCACATTTTGTGTTAGCTCGCCACCCGGAGCAATGGCTCGCTCATTATTCGGTGACATTCTAACAGACGTAAGATACTCAGCAACTAAATCCGCGCCTTTGGCTTTAGTCGCACCGCCACAATTTAATAACATATGT